AGTTTCAGCCTTTCTTGCCTGGTGGCCTTGTGTCATGTTCACCAGCGGCTCTGCCCCTTCTGACCTACATAAACACGGCTCATGCGCCAATACGCCAGCTGTGGTGATGCAGAAGCCGTCTGATTGACTGTGATGCTGCGTAGTCTATGACCTTAAGAAGGAGCAGGTTGTGTATGAAAACACACGCCAGCGTGCGTCACCAGGAGACCGCGATGCATCGTGTGAATTACTATAGCTTGCTCTAATGCTTGCGTGGAATGATTCAGTAAGCCATTACAGAAAGAACCCGCTCAGAAGTTTATCGGTGTGTCTGGGGCCCATATATTTCTGTTTTTATTTATTGAAAGTTATGAAATTGACACTTTAACAATGTGATTGCAAGGCACATGTTTGTGTCATGTTAAATACAAATGGCAGAGAATGTGAGAAGTGTGGCAGAACTTCATTTCCAAGCAGACGTCAGTTTCTTGCGAGTGGGTGCTGTAAGGTTAGACACTCTGAAAGCCTCTCTCCTCTCACTTCTTCATTACCGCCGCCTTTAAAATGTAAATGAAACAGTTGAGGTTGCAACTTCCTCCTCATAGTTGTGGCAGAACAAAGAGGCCCCTCAGTCTTAAGTAAATACATTGATGGTCTCTAATATTTCCAGAATAGAACATGAGGGTATTTTTACACTTCTCTCCGGGATGTTTTCAGCCTTCTTTTATCTGCCAAGTACGGCGATGAAGTGACATGGTGCGAGCATGAATGGTTGGTCCTGGTCTGCTTTCAGAGCCTCTGAATGCCCCTGAGTGCACTCCTCCTGTAATAGCAACGTGAACAATGAGAAAGAGCCACTGCACCACTTGATGGTTTAATGTATGTATGACATAACTGAGAGGGACATTGTGATGAAGAACAATAAGCGCCGATGTATTTCTGTAAGGGGGCATTTTATAACATGCAAACGCGGGTTATGTTGAGAGATTTTGAGTATAAAAGCAGATGCTTACATAAATATGTGTCATGAAGGCAGCAGCTTCTGCATATTTTAGGACTATTACATCAGGGTTTTGTTGAAAATCACATTTGTTGTTCTCTTTTTCTGGCTCAATTGAAAGTACAATGATTATCCAAACCATTACGACATCATTTATTTAAACAGGACCAATTCATCAACAATGAGAACGTTCTTTGTACTTGAAGGACCTCGTTTCTTTGTTCACACAGTCGATAGCTTTCAGAAAGGATATTAATGACTACTATTCCTTTGTGTCATTTTAAACATTTCACTGAATTGTCCAGGGACATTTTTAAAGTCTGCAAATGGACGTTTTTTCTAAATAGACTAGAGACTTTGCTGCCACAGAGAATTAACTCCCACAATGATAAAACTGAATATTTGTCATAATCTCAACAGAGCAGAGCTGAAAGTACTACGAGACAGAAATAAAACAGCAGCAAGCCTCGGACCAAACCAAAGAGGCCTGAAACTTTAAGAGCAGTGGTCAACGGGGGCCAGGTGACAACAGAGAGCCCCAGCTGAGAGGATCCACCGGAGGCTTACAATACCAACATCCTGCCATTTGATGAGGGGGAGGCTCCAACTGCCCCTCCTCGCTGAGCCCCCCCCACCGGGAGCCCGCCGGGGTGTAGCCGTGCAAAATGGCTCCAAATGAGAGGAATGATAGGATGCTGACTCAGAGCAGAACCAAATCTGCCCGGTAACCTTGCAACGTACAATCATAATGACTGAGTGCAAAGATAGAACAAAGTCACTTTGCTGGTTTCTATGCTGGATTTAGACATGGATGTTCTGTAAGGGAAACGCTTCAAATGAACTTTTTTGTAATCTGTTTTTTTCTTGTATTATCAAGTAACGGCTATTGGCTGAAGCTGATGTTTTGTGGACATGGAGATTTACAAAAGCAGGACAAACAATGTGAGCTAAAGTTGAAATCCTTTTAGACATCAGTGACTCGATCTTACCGCACAACTGTGATGCCGCTAACACACGGTTATCATCATTATTCAGTGCAAGCACACACCTGCATTTCAACGGCAACAACATGGCTCTGTTCTGAAAGTCTTCTGTATCCCTCTATAATTTGCTTTTACAACAATAATGTTTTTAAAGTCAGGGGTTACAGTTGACTGATGGAGCGTTTAAGAGTATTTGAATGGCTCTGCTAGACAATAGGAACAGAATCTGAATCCACAACATGACACACACATGTACCGTACACACAAGCTCAGTTGGCTCGTTTGGTGCAGGAAATAAAAGTAGGCCGATCGATTGAAGAGTCTCCTCTGACTCTGCTCCCCTCCTACTCAACCTGGAATAGCACCACAGAAGAAGCCTTTCACAGGAAGAGCCGGCCCTCGGTTGTCAGTTATTATACTAAAATAGCAGAGCTCTTGCGCATGTATGCTATTTTGGGTCATGGACATTTTCGTTTATATCTAAGGGCTTGGGCCAAAAAAAAGTACGGGAGTTTTTTCTGTTGGGTTGTTTCACAATAAACTTTAGCTGTGTTAGCTCCGGTGCGACTGTTCCCTTACTGAAAAAACTCTAACGGCCCGTCCACACAGCGGCGTGCGTTGAAGCTTGCCGGCGGGCGTGTCTGACACTCGACCAACAACCAATCACATGAATCTCCCGCCCCTGACACACAAGCAGCGGTTTGATTGGCTAGAGCTTGTACTGGCATATGATTCGATTGGCTGACGCTTCTGCCGAGGCGTCAAAAGTTGAACATTGCTCAACTTTTGCAGCGAGCCACGCCAGCAACGCTCCGCGTCGCTTCCCACGATGCAGTTCGGCGAAAAGTGACGTCACCCCATTCAAAGTGAATGGGCAGAAGCGTTGGAAGCTTCAACGCACGCCGCTGTGTGGACGGGCCGTAACACAGTCAGGCAGAAACCACCAAGTGTCAAATAATACTCAGAATGTGCTTATATCCTGAATTTCACCGTATCAAGCAGAAACGATAAGTGAGGTAAGAAAACGAGTTTCTATTCATTTATTTTGCCATGATAGTAAACTACATAAACTTGGGTTTTACACTGTTGGGTAAAACAAGAAATCTAAATATCAACTTGTGCTCTGCTAAATTATGATTTAATCAGCCAAACTATAAAAAAAAGTGAATTGAGAAAAACAGATGAATCAATATGGCACATTCTGAAATGAACTCATTATTTTCCGCCCTAATCCACACATCTATTATCTCTTATCATCACTGAAATACAGAGATGTATTCCTTACTAATAACGTAATGGCTGACATGTTACGGTCATACATGTTTGAGGTGATTCAATTATGGAAAATAACGAAAACGAACGGGCGCTAATTGCTAAACTACTTTACCAATTGAGCGCATTTCATTATGATTTGGGAAACACTTCTTTACGAGAGAGGGCAATTAATAAAGCAGTAGTGTCTGGCAAAAAATCAATCATTCCATTTTCATGGAGATAATTATGGACTAAAAGTGGCACAATGGCTTCAGTTATAGCAGTGTTACTGTAAAAGTCCTATGTTGAATCTGAGCCACTGCTTTGACAAATAACACACAAGTACTCTGGATTAAGGTATGGTTAGTATTTTTTAGATAAAAGATGTACTGCTTGAGTAAGAATTCGACTATTCTTCTGACACATACTGTCGAGTAAACGCAGCGCAGTGTTTGGCAGCAGAACAAAAGTCAGTGTTGGCTGATAAGCTAAATACTGTTAGCGCCGTGATGTCATGCATTCGCCATAAAGAATAACTGCATGTACAGGAAATCCCATTCAAAGTTGACCCTGATGGAAAACATCACACCCTCCTGCCAGTCAGGAACACCAACACAATGCCTTCAGGTCACACTCTCTTATCCCTCCTCCATGTCAGGTGGAACTGCATGTATTGTTAAAAATGCTAATGTCAACCACAGTGAATACCACATTGAATGAGGTAGCCATGCAGCTCAATGTAAATTAAATGGTCCGTCCTCTGAGTGCACTGGCTTATGTAAGCGGCTTGTCTCTACCCCCCCCCCCCCCCCCCCAGATCTCCATCCCTGCCTTTCTTTCCCTTCAGCGGCCTTATCCATCCCCTGAAACCCAAATGTCTCATAAACACACAGCCCCGTCTTAAATTGGAGAGTGCAGGGGGTGGAGAGGGGGCTGAGGAGGGGGAGGCCTGACTCACGCAGCCCTCATTTTTCTCTGCCACCTTGAAAACAACACCCCAATCCCTTGGTTGTGGTTCTCCATGCCATCATTGTTTGTGCACAGTAGACTCACAGAGCTCTCCATCAACACAAACTGGTCTTAGAAAATCAAAGATCTAGGAAAAAGAAACCCTGCTCTTCTTTTTGTTACTGCATCTTCGTTCTCTCTGTCTCCCCTTTCATTCTCTCAGTGTCCCTCCATCCATGCCTCCCCTCCCCTCCTCCTCCCCTCCCCTCCACCTTGCCCTCATCTCTAAACCTGCAGCCGAAAAAGCGCTCCATGGCGAGGTTTTCGCAGTGGCGTCTTGACAATGTCACAACTGCGTTTTCTGAGACAATCCCAGTGTCATCGGAGGGTGCACAACGGAGAGAGACAGGAAAAGATTATGTGGGGGGGGGGGGGGGGGAGCAGGAGAGGGGAGGGTGGAGGGCGGCGGGGGGAAGGCCGGGGATGAAATGCGACAAAGGTTGTGAGCTGGATTCAAACCTACAACGTTGCGTGTAAATGCTATGTGAAGGGCTGGCTGAGTAAAAATGCATTTTGAAGCTGGCAGCGACACAATGCGTAGAGAGGCAGAGGAAGGAGAAGCTGGACGAGGATATGATAAAGCCATTATTTCATATCCTCTACACAGCTCTCACACATTGTCTCTGAGTATAAGAGCATGCCTGCACAGAGGTATGTGGCAAACACGGTGTGCGGCGGATCCATCCATCTGATTTCATTATCATCAGAAAGAGGACACGGGCAGGCAGGAATGTGAATCCTCAGTCGCCTCATTACAGAAAAAGAAAAAGGCTTACCTCCACATTTCAGCTCAGCTCGACCCTGCCTTGTTTCATCCTGTTCCTCTCTGCCGACTCCCTCCCCTTCTCTCCCCATGACAGCATTTTTCTGCTATCTATCTCCACGGTGAGGCTCTTTCTCCTCCTCCTGCTTCAGTTCCTCCTGTCTGCCGCTCTCTTCCTCTCTCCAAGCGTAAAAATAAAACAGAACCGACACACACACTTCCCGATCTCTGTGTCTACCGGCTCCTCTATTCTGTTGTTGGAGTCAAGAGGCAGGTTGATTTGTGCCGTCCTCCTCCTCCCTCTTTCTCCCTCTCGCGCTGATTCTATTCCATTCACATCGCACTAAAGCCAACCCCCTCTTTCTCCTCTCTCTCTCTCCCTCACACACACACACACAGCCTCTCTCTCCTCCCCCTCCTCATCTCCTTGTCAGAGAGAGGTTGAGGCAGTGACGGACAGCAGCGGCCAACAGAGTAGAGCTCCATGTGTCTGAAACTGAGCCCTCAAAATGCCTCAGTGGCAAGACTGAATCAAGGACTCAGGATCCCTCTTAATAAACGTTGACACGCACACGCAGAAATGAGGAAGATTAGATGCTGATGCAAGACTGTATCAAGATCCAACAATGTGTCTCTCTTTTACTGGTATATTCATGGAAAGCATCGTCTCTATCTTTAAAGAGTCATTTTTTCTTTTCCGAAACCGACACTTCTGCACGAGGGAGATAAAGACAGAAGCAGACTCGGGGGCAAAGGTTAGAATGGCAGTGTGTGTGTGTGTGTGTGTGTGTGTGTGTGTGTGTGTGTGTGTGTGTATTTGTAGAGACCTCTGTGTACTCCCCAAACGCAGCCAGTGTGGGTCGAGACCATAACAAACAATCAACCTGTTTTAGAACAATGAGAGCACAGCAGTGTAACAACACAGCTTGCCTTTTCCTTCCCCCTCAGTCACTGCATCTTAAAAAAACACAAACCTGATCATTTGGGTGAAACCATTTCATGCTTTTAAGGAGAGGAGATGAATCCCTGCAGCAGGGCCAAGTGTCCGGCACCATCCCCCTAATTACTCCATGGAGTCCCGTCCTGGACGTACCATATGGCTGTGTGTGTTACCAGGTCAGTGGCTCTGGTCTGTTGGGGGGGGGGGAGGAGAAGCCTGCGTTGCTGGTGGTGTGTGCCCTCAAGAGATAAGAGAAACAAAAACAGAGGCACGAGTTGATAACCAGTTTTCTTAAAAACAGGAATACCTCAGTGCGTGTCCATCCGCGGTCAGGAGGTGTTTCTGCAGATTGTAACTTCCTCCGGTGTTCAGAGTTGTTCCAATCTGAAATACAAGACAATACAAATTATGATATGATATTAATAATTGAAACCTAACCTTTCCATGTCATAACTCATGGATTTTTTACAAACATGAACTAAAAGATTTCAATTAAATCGAAGTTTGAATTTGCTGGCACTGATTTTAATTCTGAAGCCTTTAATACATTATACACTTGATTTATTGGGATTAATCACAACTTGTGATGCTCTGAGCCAGAGGTCATGTTGGGCCTTTAGTGCTACAGTGACACCGTGTGGAGATAATCCATTAAGACTCTTTCCAGCTCAGCAAAGGAACACATTTATCTTTCTGAAGTTTGTCTCATTACAAATATTATTGTATGTGCAAAGGCAGTCCATGGGTCTCCTGAACCTAGAGCACGATAACAACCAAGACGTATTCTCAAACCTTTGTCAAACTGTTAAAAAACAAAATACATACTTTACTATATATCCTGATAAAAACTAAGAAAACCAGCAAATAATGACAATAAAAAGCGGAAAATGTTTCCCTGAAAAGTGACTCAAACATCATATTTTCTTGAAATAAATGTGTTGATTTAATGTATTAATTGACTGATCCCTTCAGCTCTGATGTTTTTAAAATACAACCATAGGTCATAGACATAATGCTATACAACACATGTACTAACCATTACATGCATACTTAGCACCACCACCTCCATGTTTTCATTTATTTCAATATTTATAGATTCATAGCAGTCCCCTACTACTATTAATATATCTCTATTTGATAAACATCTTTGTATTATACTGTATGTAGATTATCTTGAGTTGTCTTTAGAGCGTTAGCCTCCTTACATCTCTTTAAGACATCTATTATCAGATGTATTTTAGTTTGACTTGCATTTAAAGTATTTGAAATTGTACCAATAATAGTTTAATTACTAATCGTTTTTGGTTAAATGTGCTTCATTGTGGTGCTTTGGCAACACATGTCACAAGTTTTGAAGAACAAACCTATTGAATTGAACAGAAATGAATGAAAGTAAAGTAAAATGAATATAATCTCAGAGGCCCAGATAACACACCATCTGGCTTCAGTCAGGAATCAGGAAGAGGAGAAGCTGCCCAGGTGAGTAAGGTGCTGCTGTGATATTAGATTAGTGTGAAAGTCTCCTGCTGTGGCTCTGCAGGTGGAGAAGGAAAGGGTCTGATGGGATGGAGAAACACAGCAGAGAGCAGAGATATAAATAGTTTCCTATGTGTTTTAAATGTTTTGTTTTATTTTCATATATGCACCAAAACACTAAGTCAAATTCCTCGTATGTGTTATTAACCTACCTTGTAATACACGCAGGGCCATCCCTGGCCAACATGAGGAGGCTCCACGCAAAGATGAGGCCCTCTGGTTCGCGAGCGTCGACGGGGGGTTAAATGGAGCCTCGCAGCAGCGGAACCGTGCCGCGCCACACTAATTGCGCCGCATTTTCGGCTCAGTTGAGGCTCCCTTAGCAAGATGAGGCCCCCTCCGCAAGATGAGGCCCCCTCCGCAAGGTGAGGCCCCACGCAGTCTGCATGATCGGCCTGTAGGGAGGGACGGCCCTGAATACACGTGTTTCTGATTCTGAGGCAGGCTGATCATTGAAACCATGAAATGAAACAGCATCAGGCCTGAGCTCTAGTGCCGAGAGAGATAGAGATTAATTTAAACGAGATCAAACTATACTACAGGTTAAAATACCGCGTTTTAGACTGTTTCAGTTGTACCTATTTTAAAAAGTATTTGGGCAGGATCAAAAGTTAACCGAGAAAACGACTGAAGGTTCTCGGTTTAGCATCACATTTCATTAGTTCTCCACCTACCTGTACTTGGATAACCACATTTGACCCACTGTAGGTGTCCATTTGTTGTTTGAATGTCAGCAGCTGGAGCAGAATAACACGTTAGGTTGTATTATTAAACTTTATTTTCAACAAGCATGCCTCTTAACCAATTTTGACTTCATTAATGTAATTCTGCAGACTCAGGAAGGACAGTGTGTGATGCTGCCTCCTGGTGGCTGTTATATTAACATGCTAACGGCTAGTGCATTGATTTTCAATTTGTTAATGTGTTTCCAATAATACTCTGTGCCGATCAGACACAAGATATATTCTACACAGTTGTGCTCGGCTTTAATTGGAACAGTAAAAGTGATGTTTTTCTTTACTAATTTGAGTGATTTATACATTAGTTTGATTTCTTACCTGTACCTAAAGTTCATAAAGCTGGTTCTCTGCCAATAATGATGCACACTGAATGTGGAACATCGTATTCAAAGACATATTCAGGACACTTTTATGCATTTTAAGGTTGTTTTTTTATCAATTCAACAAGCTTTTTCCATATCAAACGTTCAAATCATACTCTCGACTGTTTGACTTAAAGATATACTAAATAAATTCAACAGGGTAAACTCAACATCCTTTGTGACATGTAAACAAGAAACACAAACTGAAAGTAAGATACCACTTATTATTAACATCGTCTTCTCCTGTTGATATTGTGCAGCCAGTTATTTTACATGAAGTAAAAAAAGACATTAAAGACAACTGTACACCAAATTTACATTCCTCTAACAGTTCAACATGGCTTCTGTCTTCTAAGCTTTTTTTTGTACAATCAGGTTCAGTATGTACATTTACAGGAAACAATGTGTAATTTGGGGATTTGATTTGTCTCATTGCACGCTGTACAGATAACGAGGGAATTGTCTGGGAAAAAAATGAAGAATCACCTGAATGATCACAAAGAAAAGACAATAAATACTTCCAACTATTTAAAACGTAGGGGAAATTAAGCAGAGCTACTTCTGTAAAAGATAACCCTGAAATGACCACGCATGTTTATTTGAATATTTTTTACAAGAGAACCAATTACTACTAGAACATATCAGTTTGCTTGAGACAATAAAATTCAGGCACTGGAGGAGTATCGCAATAAACTGAAAATTACTATCTGTACGTTGAGATGAGGATTTACAGTTTTAATGTTGTGCTCCTGAAAGAGATCTTATAACTTCTCTCCTTTTACACAATAACAATATGTTTTCCATCGAGTCACTGTGACACTAAGCTGTGAATCAGAAGGTATTGTTTTCTGTGCAATTTAGGGGAAGAAGCGTATGAGAGACTTTCGGGAGCCTGCACACTTTGTACAAAAATGTATATAAAAACGAAAAAGAAGTGATGAAAATATTTTGGAGTGCTGATCAGACATATGATAACGATATGTCATGTTGTTAAGGAGTGCTACAAGTCTTTTTGTAATGAACTATATTTGAAGTATGAGTCAAATTAAAGTGGTTATTGGATGGAGTCACACAGGGAATTTGACTTTTTGGGGATATACAACGAGAACATTTCAACGCCACTGTTTTGGTGGTGCAGATACAAAGGACGAAAGACAAAGATCACACACTTGCATTTGTGCCAAATAAAAAAAAAAAATTCTTGTTCAATTTAAAATAAATTCATTTCCCTTAGTGGTTTTTTTCACAACAAATCCCTGTAGAAGTCAGATTCTTTTCAATACCAAAACCATCTTACATCCATTATGTGGCCTGTATGTTCGGCTTTCATTTACACTTTTACACAAACACCATATTTCATTTTTAACGCACTGTTGGTCGTGAGCAGGATCTTTTACGCAGCAGGAGGTGTGTTTTTAAATGTTGGCGGTGTCACTCATTTCAGAATTGTCCCCAAGTTTTGACAGCTTTTCAAATTCACAATATATAAAGAATATTCACAATAAAAACAATTGACAAGTTGTGGATCCAAAGCGGAGTCCTTGGGATTAAAAAGGTTTAGAAGTCAAGGGTTTCAGCGAGGAACTTTGACAAAAACCTTTTTCTGATCCACAATTTGCTTCAAGTCTGATACTGGCGGTTTGGGGGTGGGGGGTCAGTGAACCAGGGGGGGGCTTCTACCACTTCCCCCTCTTGCTCCAGTCCTTAGGTGTGAAGTGCAGGCATTTTGAATCTATGCGCAAGTGTCTCTTCTGCATCGCTCTTTCATGTCCGTCCACAATGTCCTCTGAGAGAGTCAGGATGTACTGACCCTGCATTCAAGACACAAAACAACAATTTAAGAAACAGAAAATCACATTTCTACAACATTGTTATGGGGGGGAACTACCACACACACTGGTTCATCAATATGTCATGTTAGTAGAAA